GCTTCTATTAAAATAATTAGTGGCGGCCGTTATATCAAATGCCACAAAAGACATAAGTGGAACTGCTCCCTAACACTAATTAGCTTTAGGTGATTCACGAGAGCATCTCCTGCTCTAAAAATAGGCCTATGGGTGGGCACAATGTCAAATGTCATAAAAGACATAAGTGAACTCCTTCCTAATACCAATTAATTTTATGTTAGATAAGACAACTCAGGCGACAGAACTTTGTATATGCTGTCATTCATTCACAAACATGGGAATCAATATCACAGCTAGGTAAATCACACTACCATTGAAACTACTAATAGGGAACAATATGTTGATTGAAATATTAGTGACTAGTTAGCAAAACAAATATGGATGATTGAGAAAACATCAAGAATTTATCGAAACGTAGAGAAGAAGGTTATAGAACTACAGCAGTCGAAATCTTTTAGAAGTAATGTATGGTTTGTGATCTTCAATGGCAAGTGATAAATACTATACAAGAGTGTAGTCAGAATACTTTTCAGAGCTAAATCAATACTATCATCAATATGTGTCTTAAATTAAATGCAATACACACAAATACTTAAATTTCTTTAGCAATTTTGGAAAAAAATTATTCAAATTATTTTATGTAAATTAATATTATCAAAAAAATTTCATTAACTTACTAAAAAAAAGTTTTTTGGGAAGATAATAGTAATTTTTAACATATCTATTGTATAAATAGTATTAAGTATATTGCATTATTAATTTATTCCTCGCGAAGACAAATATGTATTGATGCATGTATATATTTAATTTAAACAACTTTGCTTCACAACATATTTGTTTTTTATAATTATATATATATTTTTCTACAAGAACAACAATTCACAGAGAAATAGATGAGGTTAGATATCAGTATTAGAAATTTTCTACTATACTTCCTCTGAAGTATGATTAAAGTCACATAAATTCACAATCAACTCTGCAAATATATTAGACCTCAGGGCACATGAATTAGGGCAACTATTCTTCCATTAAAATCTGATAGAGAGAGAGAAAGAGAGAGGACTCACCGGACGTGGCTCTTTGCTGCTTGTTGTCGTGGCTGATTGGCTGCCCTCTGCACACACCGATGATGCTCTGACTTTAGGCCCTTGAGAATGGAGTCTAGTCTCATATATATATATATATATAGAGAGAGAGAGAGAGAGAGAGAGAGAGAGAGAGTCTGGTGAGATGGTAGTCCTAGCCTATGGTGATTTAGTATTCCGTGTTTGTTTCCTCTTTTGATTGGGAATGGAAAAAAAAAATTAGAAAAAGGAAAGAAGAAACAAGAAAGAAACCTTTCCTTCCATAACAGGGTTAGACTTTCTTTTTCTAGTCCAAGAATTGTCTTCCATTAGGTCACTTAAGCCTAAGGATGGTTTTTAGGGGTAGGGTCTGGTCTGTTTCCATCGTAGCTGTAATTCTCCATTTGACATCGAAAATTGAAATGATAAATCATAGAAATCAAAGCGTAGTCCACCATCGTCGACCATGAAGTTGAAGATGACAACAGTGGATAATCAGAGAAATTCGTGGGTACATACCCTTCTAGATAAGGGAGCCGTGTAATCGGTTTGGGCTTTTGATGAGCTGGGACAGAGTGCGAAGAGATTAAGGGCATGTTTGGTTTGAATTTCCCAAAAATTTTTGGGAAAATTTCTCTACAAATGAGTTTTCAGAAAAACTCAAACCAAACAAATTTTTTCAAAAAAATTTCCCAAAACTTGTAAACCAAACAAGTTTTCCAAACAAATCTCTCTCTCATACACATCAAATCAATCACTTTTTTCAAAACTCTCTCTCAAAATAATTTTCCAAAACATCTTTCCAAAAAAACCAAACCAAACAACTTTTCGTACTTTTTATCTCCCAAACTCATCTCCCAAAATCAAAC